TATTAACAAACATTCACGAACACAAGTCCATAAAATGGGTTATGCGCATGCGCGAGCAGCGCCATCTATTGACGGAACTGTGAACACCTGGACCCGCGGTCGTTTGATTCGTTATCATTTCATATTTTTCAATCGGTGGGTACTCAAAGCTCTAAATTACACCATGCATGAGAGAACAGGTGGTAAAGAACGAGTATCCTCCTTTTGCATCAAATTAATTTGATGGTTTTTCATTCTACTTGTTATAAATTACTACACTAACACTAACATTACATGACTTTCCCCCCTGTCGCTTCACACCAGTTCTGTACATTTCATTACAACAAAGAAAAGAGCAGAAAACAGCTTTTGGCATACTGAGCCATTCACCAGCTAAACTAAACAAAATCTTTCCTTATTGGAGGGAGGCGATGTTTAGCAATATAGGACCTACAGGTGCAACTCTTAACCCGTTACAGAGAAACATGAAAATAAAATTATGAGTACCCCAAGGAAATACACTTTGGCATCTGCATCATAATCGTAACATTTCTGTGAAGTTGTGGGCAATCTTTTTTTTCTAATTTCCTGACAACTATCGTTTTTGGACTTATCCCCTTCTTCCGCTTCACAGCTCAAATTCTCAAATTTATCAGGAAAGACATTTGAGGCCATTGTAATTCAACATTGTATGCTGATTGACTTTTTTTGTGAGCTCTGATCAAAGTTGCAGAATAAAACAATTGCTCCCCAAGTGATAAGAGCCATATGAGACAAAGTAAACTAATATACTTCTGACACCTATTATTTTCACAAAAAGTCACTCAAAGAAATTATGATGAATTATAGAAATTAAGTGCGTCTTTGCCTCCAAATGTTTTCAAAGGGTATTTACAGCTTACTTTAGTTGAACCGACCACTGTTCGCTTGGATCTATATTTACCTAAAAAGCTAGCGCAGAATGAATATTTACGTTTGATAACTGTCATACACATGTTGGCTGTTTTCCTGTGCACTAGATTGATGTGAGATTCCAGAAGACTTAGGCCCCTACCATAATATCCGAATTTAAATGTAACTGTGCATTGTGGACATTCCAACAGTCTGGCAAATTGGTTATTTTCAGCCAGCCGGTTATTGCAACGCCTCAAAACAGAATTTGGGCCAGTAGATTCAGTGTTTCTGGCAACAGCGCTGGTACCTTCCTCTGCTGCAGATATAGTTTGAACTTTACTACACAATGATGCATGACCATCAGAAAAGTGTCCAACATTACAATCATCTTCAGCATCCACAACTTCATCTTTTATATCGACCTGAAATAAGAAAATAAATATGAAATAAAATTAAGGTTGGTACTTTTGCAACAATCACGCATTCTTACCTCTGTATGAAGACCACTCTCAATTTTGGTATCAAGATGATGATCCGCTGTTGCAATTTCCAAATTTAATGAGCTTGGAATTTCAGTATAGACATTATGGTGTCCTAGTGAAGTTCCAGTAAATACATTAAAAGCAGGCGAAACGTTTTTATCGGCGACACTGCAAGCAACTCAATGTTTATCTTTGTTTGTTGTATGACAAGTTCGATACAGACAACAAATACATACTATACAAAATCCTTAGTTGAGAAGTTTTTCTCGGCAGTTTTGCCTTCGCTCAGATTTACTTTGTTTGGTAATGATATGAGAAGGTCACCAGGATGAACAATTACCTGCAGCAAGTACCTCAATTAAGGTAATCATTCCGAATTCTACCCGACCACTCACTTAACAGTACTCACTTCAGATCATCATATAATTTCAGTTCTAATAATTACCATCGACACTGAGACATCCGTCTTCAAACACACCGATTCCTCTTCTGATGTGGATCTGTAACCCTCGTACACATTGGCAATAACTCTTACTAACTTCAAATTATGTAATTTCACCACATAATCCATGATTTCCTTAAAGTCTTCCGGCACAAGTAACCTGCAAGACAACTATGGTACTTTAAAAACAGGCATTTAAGGCAGAGTGTAAGAAAACATATCTACAGCCATAACATACTGACCAGTTCTTAATATGTCCGTAAGTAAGTTCATGTGCATCTTCACCACTGTATAGAAGCCATTCCACAGCAGAATAATCACAACTATGCTTCACCACAGGCCACGCCACACCTCTTTTCAATTCAGGTACTTTATCAAAAGCTAACTGTAATTTTGATAGAGCGGTCTCGTCACATATGTATACGCTTTTGCCAATCTGACTCTGACGATCACAATGGACCCATCGACAGCATACCTTAATTGGGTGCGAAACATTACCATCACTTGTCCCGCAGTAAGGACCCTGATGGGAAATAGACTGATAAAATGCATTTACAGCAGACTTTACAAAGGCTGCTTTCATAGCTGTAGCGTAAAAATGAGGTTCCTTTCAAAAGTTACAACTGTGCAGCAAGAGACATCTTATAACCTCAATTCTTGATAGGCTCGTGCTTGTAACAACAGGCTTATCACACACATACACTTGTCTCGATCAAGTCAAGAGGAAACTTTGAATTATAAGTAACCACGTAAAGTATTAGAGAACAAATAATTCTCGGAAACATTAAAAAAAAGGAATGGAAAACGAGGTAAATAGAATATAATGCGATGAGGTAAACAAGCGGACAGCAGACGCGACCTCCTGACCAGCGAGCGACTACTCTCGTTGGAGTGGTGGGGAGGACAGCACATTCGTATCCAGATTGGTATACACAAGGGTGCATCATGTTACAGAGGCAATATGAGAAATTCACGCGCGGTACTGTCAAAGCAATAGCAAAGCAAAATGCAAGAAAACCATAATATTAATCGACGTATTTCTCCGATAATCTACTGTATGATACACAACGATGACTTGTATTTCTAGGAAATCAACCCCGCAGATAATCAGCATGCGTAAATGAAATAAAATTAGATAAACGACTGGCTTCTTGAAATATACAATGTATATTTTGAAATATTCAGCTGCGTAGATGGAAATTTCAACGGATATTTTGAAGAAGACGACAAGGTCTATGAAAAATTGACTCAATAAAAATAAAGTATACAGTTGCACATTTTGAAATATTCAGCCTCGTACCTGGAATATTCGGCGTATATTTTGAAATATACAACTCATATAATGAAATATACCAGTGCATTTGTCAAAGTACTCGAATGGCATCGAATACCCACATATATACATTCCCAACGCAACAGCACAGAAACGAATATTTTCATAATTTATTTAGGGGGGGGGAACCTCCGCACGGGGGCACCTCTGGACGTTATCCGTCGTTTTGTATCATAAAAAGACAAATCGAGTTCGAAGATGAGCACTCTAGCTCAAAAATTATGACAAGTAAATGTTGTTTTTTTATATTTATCACTTAATTCCCTTTTCTTTATTCAAAATACCCTAATTCTTCTCTACACCACGGTCTTCGAGTCCGCCTCGTAGGCAGGCAACCCGCACTACGGCCCCCCAACTCTTTTTCTTTCGTGGTTACGCCTCTGCCTTCAAGGATCACAAATCAGCAAAAATACAAAATTATTAAAACACGAAAATTCGTTAACTTGTGTTCTTCGCATGAGCTAGAAAATCGGGATTTTTTCCGGAAACAACCGGGAACTTCACGGGAATATGTTTGTTGTGTTAATGACAATAAGCGCCGTCAGAGCGAACAGTGACGAACTAATCAGGTGAGCAGAGCTCGATCCCGAATCGTCAGGAAACGGATCAGAGCCAGCCTCCACAAATGGCACGACGTTAGTACTGGTTAGCCTCTTGAAGAATGTCCAAGACTTTTTTAAAGTTCGGGTCCGGTTGTTGCTAGTAAAGTCTACGTGCACTACACCCCAATTTCTGCAAAGCGTAATATTAAATTCGCGTTTTATTATTGTGTCTTGGGAATCAATCGATTCCGTTTAATTTCTTGATTCATACTTACCCGTAAGAGTGGAACTCGAATGTATCTAGGAGAGACCACATCGTGTAACCGACAACATTTGTGCCATTTTCGTTTATGCCGGCAGCCAGCTCACGAAGAAATGTCTGTAACAGGTATTTATATGTATTAAACAAGACTCTTTTCATTTCCAAATCAAGAAACTAACTATCTCGGAATCAACTTGTCTCCTCGTGCATCTCTTTCCGTCTAGCCGGCGTACACTCTGAACGTAAAAGATCAATTTTCTCCGTAACAAGGGAAAGGATTTACACGCATCGAAAGACAGACAAAATTATTTCGTTAGTGAGGAAACTAGTAAGCACTGGTAAATTTACTGTACACTGGAAATGCATGTGTGTGAATGTCGCTCACCTGCAGGCGAGCGACATTCACACACTTGCATTTCCAGTGTAGAATTATTTACATTTTATTGCGATTATTAGCGATCTGGAGTCGTTTGACGGATGTCGACGAACTATCGGCTTTCTTACCGAATCAGCAGATGCAGCCACCGATTGTAACTCGTTCTTCTCCAAGAAGCTTTGACTCACCAATGCCGTCCTGGTATTCCTCACTAACTTTAGCCTTCTGAAATAGTAATGATAACATGTTGTGATTGAAAACATGATTAACTTCCCGTGTAAATCGCTGTATCTGAAATTCGCCTGATTTTCAGCCTCATGCGGAGACGCCGGGAAGACGACGAAAAGATCCAGACGGCTGGCCGTTTTGTCTTTTCTCCGTTGTCCCGGCGTGGCGTCTTCCACTCGACTCTTTGCTGTACATAGTCGAGACGAGCTAGTGACGTGCAAGAGGTTACCAGGCTGAACTTGGCCGCGTCGGCCGCATGGGACTCGTCCCTCACGTCGTCCACTCACGTCTACTCTGGCCAAGTGGATATCGTGACGGACTTGCATTCAACAAAACCGAGGTTCGATGCGCGGTCGCGCAACGTTTTTGACTGGCAAGCGAGGCGGTGGCCTGTTCTTTGTCTCCAACCCAGCTCGTCTCAAATCGACACCTCCTACGTACAAGCAGCTATCTTGAGCAGTGCAGACAAGCAGCTATCTTCTTCGGCTGCGCAGACAAACAGCTATCTTCTTGAGCTGTGCAAAAAAACAGCTAACTGCTTTCTCCACCTCGCGACTTTGGGTATTTATATTTCTCTCCACAAATGACGTAGCCAATTCACTGTTGGGTCAACTACTTCCTTTAGTTTGTCAAAACATAAAATTTCACTCCCGATGTTTCAAACTTGTCACTGACAGAACGTATTGGACGGAGAATAGGCCAACCCTAACCTCCTCAAAAAACAGACAGCTGTTTGTCCGCCACCCCCAAGCAGATAGCTGCTTGTCTGCGCAGCCCAAGAAGATAGCTACTTGTCTTCACAGTTCAAGAAGCTATGCTTGTGCATAGGAGGAGTCAAAATGGGTACAGAAAAGAGTCGAGTGGGAGACGCCGCGAAGACGAAGAAAAGACAAAACGGCCAGCCGTTTGGATCTTTTCGTTATCTTCCCGGCGTCTCCTCAGAAAGACGAAAATCAGTCGAGTTTCAGCTACAGCGTTTTATGGTGGATATGCTAAAACCGACCAAAACTCAGTCAAAATCAAGCCATGACGACATAACCAAGTCAGTCACCATGCCGGACTCAAGGAGCCGACGTCACGTCACATGGCTTCACTCTCATCCTGTTACTGAGTTTTGGCACCCCTTGTCAGTATTCCTGCTGTGTAAAAACCTTTATAAGATTCTGACAACTTCATCAGTGTAATACGAAATAATTTCTTTTTCAATAACTGGCGATTTTTTTTATCAGTGAGCTACTTACAGCTATACAGACTAAGTAACAAATTCGTCAGCAACGCTGCTGCATAAGCACCTTTTTAAGCTACTAATAAATAAATCAGTACAGGTCTGAGAGTGTTGCTTCTAATCGTGTTTTAGGACCCGGGTGAAACGGTTGTATACGACTCACTAAGAAATTTTATTACAATTTATAGACTCTTATAGAGTGGAATATGATTGTGTACACCGTAATATAACGATATAAAGGGTGTTTTACAAATGTGTATTGCATTTGGTAAAACTTTATACGATTATATACAGAGGTTTTTATAAAATCTAATACAATGGATATACAATATACGTGCCGGAAAGCGACTTATGTCCGATTATCTTTGTACCACACGCATATATACGGCCACTTACAAGTGAATAAATATCACCTTGCCCTACATATAAGAATGTATACAGGCACATACACTCATACAGTAACTAAAAACGAAACTGACCACGCCCGTAAATGTACGCAAAATGTGGCTGAGTTCTAACATACAGCATAACTTATTAACGGCTACACACAGGGAAGTGAATCATGAAAACGCTAAAGTAAATATTGTGTAATATTTTATAAAAAGTAATACTGACAAAGTAATACAGTGTTACCAAATAGGACACTTTTATTTAAATACTGTGCTGTCACATTCAATATAATGTGAATTGTGTCACATTATTTAGGATATCATTCTTTTAGAACGTGACATAGCCTTTGCTCCGCTTTGCCCTCAAGGGCTTAGTGCATGAGAGGCGTACCTATGTCACGTTAAAACGAATGTGACATAATATTCTAAATAATTTGACACAATTCACATTATATAGAATGTGACGTCACAGTACTTGAATAACAGTGATTACAGATACCTTTATACAGCTTTATACAACGACTTCTGTATGAAAATTTTACTGGCAATGTTTTTCAACCCGGAGATATTTTCATCGTGTTTCCAATCATGACATGTTATTATTACCATTTTAGAAGGTTCAAGTGCTTGCTTAATACCTGGATCGCATGGGTGAGTCAAGGATTCTCGAAGGATAGTGAGTTTAGAAACAAGCAGGCCCGCTCAGGGGCCGGGCCTGCTTGGCCTGCCGACGGCGATGGTCGGGCATGCGGCCCGACCATTGCTGTCACGCGATTTGCTGAAGAACGTGATCGAACGATGTAGCGGGCCTTCGGTCCGCTTAAACCCGTCGTCTTTGAGTTTGCCCCAAAGACTCGAGAAACGGATGTAGCGGTGAAGCAAAGCGACCACAGCCCACCCTTCTGCTTAGAAAACGTTTTTTGGGGGTGAGGAGAGAGTTTCCTTTCTATATTGCGGTTTTTAGGCCTTTTTCTACAACTTATTGTTCACTATGGCAATTTTTAACTTATTTTCGATTAAAAAAGGCTCTCTAGCGCCTAAACGGTTAGAGATAGAGCGAAACGGACGAATTTTTCGCGCAAAGGGCTCCACTATGACGAGTTACCGCTCGGAAAAACATGAAAGAAAACACCTTTTGGTAGAATTTCTGAACCTTGGATACCCCCATTCACACCCTTAGGGGTGGTTGCCAGGATTTGCCGTAGGCGTTTCGTTCTCTAGGAGTGGACCTTAAGATACCCTGAAAATTTCAAGTCTCTAACACATCTCCTTCTAGTGGAACAGACAGACAGACACACACGAGGTCGTTTGCAAAAGCCCGCTGGATAGCTTTTTCAAAGCAGAAGGGCGGGCTAAAAATCAGCATATATTGAGAAGAACGGAGATCTTTGTAATTTTTTGGCACACTGTGAAAGAAATGATTTGAAGAACTGCAAAGTATTTAGATCCTTTGTAGCTACAAGGCATTTACTTTGCAATTACAAAGTGATGCTTTGCAGTTACGAAGCAATGGAACACGCTGGAAAGTAGGGCAAGTCGTGCATCGCTTACTTTCGATTCTTGGGTTGTGATAGTGCTTTCCAGGTGCCATTTTGGATGAAAACTGCTGTGATACTTTTTATATTTCTTTCGTCGAACGTTTTAATAACCCTATCTTGCCTTCTTTTCTGATTTGCCATAAGAGGGAAATGCAAAAACCTCATTTTTTGTCGTATTTTCTTCTTGACTAAACACGCAATTTTACGGTCCTCTGTGTGCAAATTTTAAGAAGGCTCTATCCTGGCCGGTTTGCATCGTATGAATGGTTTTTAGCCCGCCCTTCTGCTTTGAAAAAGCTATTCAGCGGGCTTATGCAAACGACCTCGTGTGTGTCTGTCTGTGTGTCTGTGTGTCTGTGTGTCTGTGTGTCTGTCTGTCTGTTCCACTAGAAGGAGATGTGCTAGAGACTTGAAATTTTCAGGGTATCTTAAGGTCCACTCCTAGAGAACGAAACGCCTACGGCAAATCTTGGCAACCACCCCTAAAGGGCTAAGAGGGGGTATCAAAAAAAATAAGGTAGGTCAAAGAAGTAAAAAAAAAATATTTTTTTATGATCTCCTAAGGGGTAACTCGTGAAAGTAGAGCCCTGTGGGCGAAAATTTCGTCCGTTTTGCTCTATCTTCAACCGTTTGGGCGCTAGAGGGAGTTTCTCTCACAAAAGTGGCCCAAAAATAAATTTATTAATTTCCGAAAATATTGGATGGTCTCCTAAGGGGTAACTTGACAAAGTAGAGTCCTACGGACGAAAATTTCGTCCGTTTGGGTCTATCTCTAACCGTTTAGGCGCTAAAGGGTCTTGTTTGACGAAAATAAGTTAAAAATTGCTGTA